GTCCTGCGTCCCGACTCGCCTTGTTGTAAAGTAAAACTTTCCGTGAAGGATCAACAGAGAGGGAAATCTACCCGTCAGAGCTCCTGGATATCGGGGTTAGATGGTTTGGAATGTGACCCAACAATGTTAGTTTGAATACGTTTTGAGGAGGACCACTGAGCGTCCTAATGCCAGCGGAGGGAAGCGGGAGTTTATTTTCATCCGATTCCATCTGTTCTGGCTTGGCTCCAAACTTCCTGGGTTCAGGTTGGCTGGGCTGTTTTTTTCCAACATTTGGAGCTGCAGCTGTCATTTCTTCTGCAGGGAGCACGGTTACCAGAATCAATCATTAATTCCACACGCCTAGAAAGGTTCAATTCAATGGAATCAACAGATTCCTCATGATATATTTGAGTGATTAAATGGATTAAGTGCTCGCTCGCATCCAGAATGACCTATGAGTGGTAAACTCCACCTGGATGGTCGTCAGGAGGGACTTCTTGGCAGAAACCTGGTTGAAAAATTAGATAGAATTACCTGAGTTCCCCAAAAGGTTGCAGGACATGTTGAGGAACAATGCAGCTGGGGCACAAAATGCTTCATGTTAATGTAGATTTAGATGTATACGGTTAAAGAGTACATCAAAATAAGTTACCAATAATTCTGTCACTGGAAACCATGTGATAGCATGGCGGTTTCCCCTTCATCCCAGTGCCTGATGCTGGGACCTTCCTTCCCTTCCGTTCCTGTCATCATTCTGGGGCGTTGTGGGTTTCAGTTTGAGCGTCCCGCGTTGGTCAGTGTAGTTTTGTGGGCCGCTTCAGTCCGTCAAGAACACCATTGTGGTGGAAACATCTTTTCTTTGGAAACCAAAATGTCACAGGCTGGTAACTTTAAGGCAGAAAATTGCTCTTTTAAAGCTGCACACTGGTCTGCCTGCTGTGTGTGTGTGGGTGTGTGTGTGTGTGTTTGTGTGTACCACCAGCTATTCCCTTTGTGTTGCATCCTGTCTCTCTCCCTCTTTCACCCTCCGTCCTTTTGTTTCAGCTTCCCTTTGCACCTACATGTCAAGTTGTTTCAGCAGAACAACACAATAGAGCACACTCGCACACAGACACGCTTTGTTCCAACCCGACTTTTCACTGCAGTCAAATCGGTGACGGGGAGATTTTGGGAGATTTGTGTGTGAATTAAGCCAAACGGTGCATTTGAAGTAATTCATTTCAGATGATTTTCCCTTTTATGTCATTGGAGGATCAGTAAGCATCGTTTGCTTCACTGAGGGTTACAGCTGCATAGTTGTACAAAATCTGAGAAGGAAATGAGGGCTCATTCTGCTGGTGTTTAAAAAAAAATCATTCTATGTCATTTTAAGCAATTCCGTGTGCGGATTTGCAGCTTTTCTTGAACATCTTTAAACTGAAGATCTCGTTGGTTTGAACTGTTAAGCTGCGACTGTACTCCCTCACAGTGGCTGGCCGGGTGATTCCTCCACCACCCCCTCCCTATCCTCTTCCTCCCCCACATCAGCCCTCCTCCTCCTCCTCTTCCTCCTCCACATTCTCCTCTCCCTGCTGATGGCCAGGAAGATGGAGCTGCTGATGGAGAGGAGTGCAGAAGAGAGGAGATAGTGAGAGCTGTTGATGTGTCTCTCCTCCCTCCGTTACTCTGGTTCTCTTTTTTTAAGCCAGAGGAATTTTACACATCGACAGTGTGCTGAAAGAGTGTGTGTGTCTGTGTGCGTGTGTGTGCTTTCTGTCCCTGTGTTTGTGTGTCACGTTTATTTGAGCCAGCGTTTCTGTGTATTTGTCGCTCTTTAGTGTGTGTTTGCTTTGCAAAGAGAGGGAGGGTGGTTTGTGTGTGTGTGTGTGTGTGTGTGTGTGTGTGTGTGTGTGTGTGTGTGTGTGTGTGTGTGTGTGTAGGTTTGTGAAATGGTGGGCAGCCAGTCATGGTTTTTTCACACTCTCTTCTCCTACAGCATGCATATTTCATGGCACCGGTCGTTTATGTCGCCAGCAGGAGAGTTTCTGGGCCCAACTAATACGCTGCCTGAACGTGTTTGTGTGTGTGTGTGTGCATGTGTGTGTGTGTGTGCATGTGCGTGCGCGCTGTTCAAGTCTGGGGAAACTAAAGCCGAATATTCCAGAATAGTTTAAATAACTGTTCCGCTGGCACAAGAATTTGTGAATGTTGTAGATTCACAGGCGGACAGCTGCTGCCCGTGTGCTGCACCTGTGACGGAGCTCCCCGCTGCACACAGCCGTCTGTCTGTGTTTGACTGATGTGTTTTTATTACCGCCGCGTGCTTCAGAACCACTTCCCTTCTTCCCTCGCCCTCCATTGATGTGGCTTTTTGACGCAGGTTCGTCGTGTCAAAGGACAAGGCCGGGTCTCTGTCCTGGCTGACATGCTGACTGGCTGGATGTTGTGTGTGTGCGTGTGCGTGCGCGTGCGCGCACATGTCTGCACGTCTATGCATATGTGACAGCAGTACACAAAATGCAGTGTTTGGTCTGTAAACAGCAGCCTCTCCTCTCTCAGCTGGTTCGGTGGTTTCAAATTTCCTCAACTTTACGTAACCAGTCAGCCGACAATACTGATCGTCAATTCTTTGTTGAAGACGTTTGTTTTTATTCCCGGACATACATTCAGATACCCCCATCCTTCATTTCCTTCTGTTATCGGTGTGAAGGTAACCCCCTCCTCAGCGGCACCAGAACTCCTCTCCAACAACTCGTGACCGAATCTCTTCCGATAGCTACGTTGACTCGGTTTTCTTTGATGGCCACAGAACAGCCCCCTCTGGCTCATGGTCATGTAACTATCTGAAGCATAAAACATTCAGCTGATTCAGGGTCAGCGTCGAATAGTTTCGTCACAAATCCAACCTGTTGGTTATTCACCTCTCGTATCTCCTGGAAAATGTCTCTAGTTTCAGTGTTTGATTAATGAATCAGAATATTTATTGTCTTCCCCAAACCTTCGACCGGAAAATGTCCTGGATGACTTATTATGTTTCAAGTGCTGCCCATGTGACTCGAAGCGGATACTGGTTTTGCTGCACTTTGGAGACACTGAAAGTGAACCGTGCAACACCTTTTTGAGGTTTCGTTTCCTTTCAGAAGCACCGTTCAAACGTGGGCTTGAAAGTCGCTTAGGACCTGTAATATGTGTGCATGTGTGCTCCCAGCAAAGTTTTATCCTCGTCAACGTTGCCAGTAACGTATTCACTTGACAACGAAGTACCAATATCTAAAAAGCCTCTGACCGCTACACACTTTCTCCCCCTTAATCCTACGTTGTAAACAACAAAGTCGAGTTCAAATCTGCATCAGGAGAGCTAGATACCGTTAGCTGTTCGCTAACCAGGGCTGTGCTGACCGGCTAAATACTGGCGCTAACTGCTAACGCTAACGAGGTTGACTTGAGTTACGTCCATTCAGACAAATGGAGGAATGAAGAGGAAGTGTAACGTTATTATGATGTGGGTCCGCGCGTAGTATCGGCTGATTCGCAACTTCAGGTAAAAAACCTGTATGGGAACATCGCTAACATCTTTGTGTTTTTGTTTATGTAGTCTGAAGCAACTGGCCTCATTATTAAAAAAAAGACGACAAGGAAGGCTGATGGTTGGTTTACTCCTTCATATGCACATCGCCGCACACATATTGTGTACATAAAAATTATAACTGTGTACATATAATTCATTAGCCGGAAACACTAACAGCCTTGTGTGCTTTGTCATTTTGAGGGGCGTGTGTTTGTGTGCGTCTGCTCCCCTTTTTCATCCCTGCTCTGTCATTAAAGGAGATGAGGGGAGGATGTTTGTTCAAGACATTCTCATAAACTACCGTGTGTGTGTGTGTGTGTGTGTGTGTGTGTGTGTGTGCGCACACGCACGCACGTTACAGGACAGCCTGCGTAGATTATGAGGTTTGTTGTTTGTGAAACACCTCCACTGTAACACAAGGAGCTTCTGCTTTGCTCTTCATAAGTTACGTTTGCATTTGCTCAGTGTCTTTTGTTCTGATGAAGGAACAATGGAAAAGCACACAGGTTTGGTTTATTTAGTCTGTCCAGGATGTGAAACCTCGGACACCCTGTTATTTGAAATATCAAAGGCTTTTAATCTCAACATTCAAGACATTGTCTTCCTTTGACGTCATCATGAGGGAATGTTCGATTCTGCTGCAACTATAATTTCCTCTTTAGGACCGATTCGGGTCTTTGTGGTGAGGTTTGTGAAATCAAATGTGTTTGCTTCAGTCACCTCGACCACAGAAACTCTTTGTCAACAAATCAGTTTGTCCGTCCAGGTGATGTTCCGGCTGATGGTTTAACACATGTAAGACTTGTATGCTGTGCAAATGATTTTCTGCTGGAAAGAAACCGCTGCTCTGTGTGAGCGTAGTTTTGTGTGTGTTTTTTAAACATCTGTTAGGAAAAGCACCAGCTGTTCAGCTGTTGGGCGCAGACTTTGGCATCGCATCAGAGGCAACCTACCAGCATCGAGCCACAGGAAGACGCAGAATACTGATGCAAATTGTCCAGGCGCGCGTTTAATATTCAATCCGTCACTTTCTTTTTCCGCACGCGGTCCGGCCCGACAGTAGCAGGAGGGCGAGCGCGGCGGCCAGATGTCTTCTCCCGCGCGCTCCGAGAGCCGCGCTGCATCCAAGCAGAGGAGCAGTCGGCCTCGGGCTCCTTATAAATCTGTGCCTCTCCGGGTTTGTGGCGTCGATCGCATTTCTCACATTAGACCAACGTGCGGGACTCTGCTCGGGCTGCACGGTTTCTTTGTCTGTTGTTAAACGGTGTTATTTTAGACGCCACTAGCGTCCAAAAAAGGGCAAAAGGGCCCCAAGAAATCTCAGATTGAGCCTCAAACTGTTTCTCAGGTTACTCGCGTTGTTGGATTTACGGTTGGCTGTTTCAGCGTTGTTTTGTTTTTGCATTTCACATTTGTTGGTACTTAATGTCCGCCTCTCCCCGGCTCGCCTTCTCTCCCTCTCTCCTCGCAGCAAATGGTGATGAGCCTGCGGGTGTCGGAGCTGCAGGTGCTGCTGGGCTACGCCGGGCGCAACAAGCACGGACGCAAGCACGAGCTGCTGACCAAGGCGCTGCATCTGCTGAAGGCCGGCTGCAGCCCCGCCGTGCACATGAAGGTCAAAGAGCTCTACCGGCGCCGCTTCCCCGCCAAGATGGTGTCCCACTCGGAGCTGGCCATGCCCGGGCCGCACCACCCGGCCACGGCCGGCCTTGTCGGCGGAGGGGGCGCCGCGCTGCCCGCCGGCCTGACGCAGCTGGCCTACGAGAGTCACGGCGGCGCCCCGTCGCCCGCCGCCTTGCTGCCCCTCTCGCTGCTGGGCCCCGGGAAGCACGAGCTGACCGGGCTGACGCACCACCTGTCCGGCTCGTCCACGCTGCACCCGGTCCACCCGGACGTCAAGCTGCAGCGGCTGCCCTTCTACGACATGCTGGACGAGCTCATCAAGCCAACCAGTCTAGGTGAGAGCGGGCGGGTTTGTGTGTGAGAGGCGGAGACTAAAAAGGGAACCATGGTTGAGGGTCACGTTCAATTACTATGCAAGGATTTTATGTTTGGTCTATGCGTCATTCCGCTGACGGGGTAAATACGTAAGTATACAAGATGAATGGAGTGGCATAATAGCCTCGCAGTAAGAAATTGGTATTTGAGGAATAATACAATAGCCCACACCTGGTTTTAGTATTTAAAAGAATAGCATTATTTATTATTTAGTGTTTGGTGTTGCAAAATAAAATGTACCTCTTTCACAGCTTCCCCAAGCTAGATTTTTAGATGGCTGCTTAAAATAACAAACTGTCTCCAAATGTAGGAAAGGCCTTTAAAACCGAAGGTTGCGCGCACACACACACACACACACACACACACACACACACACAACAACAACACACATCTACTTTTTCCGTATGTCTGCTGTCGGTATCTTCCCCGTCAAACTGCACCCACAGAGTGTGAAAACGCCGAAAAATAAATAATCTTCTAAGGTTGTGGATATTTATGTCAGTGTGACATTCCCATAATAATCATGGCAGCAGTCACAGAAAACATTGACATTTGAGTTTCCGCTGTGGCGGAGAAGCTCCCTGCCAGAGCCGCTGTGGTGCTGCCTGCTAATGTGTGTTACTGCAGAAACACAACAAGGGTTCGGAGTACACGGACGCCACCGTCGGTTCAGAGGAGGGGTAAGAGAAAATATTTCTGAATGTTCTGGGATTCGCTCGTATTAATATACTACCAACACTGCTCGTGTGATCGTGGTCCTTCTCGCTCCGCTGTGTATTTCTGTTAATGAGCAAGAGAGCTTGAGTCTCGTCCTTTGGAGTTGCTTTTTTCACCAAGTCGCTGGTGTGCGACGTATTTGTTTAATAATTCAAAGTTAATCGATATATATTTGTTAGATTTGGTTTTGCAGATTTGTGAAGGAATGTTGAAGTCGCGCCCGATGCTGCACTACTCATTAAATATTGATCCAGCGAGGCATGCCTCTTATTAGATAAGGCTTTAACGTGGATATACTGTATTAGATAAGGCTTTAATGTGGATATACTGTAATTATTCTATGTGTGGGCCGAGCAACGCCACCGCACGATAATTATTATCTGCACCTCTGATTGTACGTATGCAAGACCAACCTTTCCTCAGTGCTGAGCCAGACCATCAACAGCACATGTTGACATGTACATGTACGTACACAAAGTCACATGTCTCTCCTTCCCATCGTTAAAGCATTCTGCGTGACACCATCACGTCTTCGTCAACAAAGTCTGCTTTGTTCCCTCGTAGCGACACACAGCTGTAGCGAGTCCAGGCCAGGAGGAGATCCCTAATATGGCTCATGTTAGAGTTCCTTAATTGGATTTAGTGTCTTGTTTTCATTACTTGATTTGTGATACTGCAGTAGGTTACAGTTGGAAATACAAAGTGTCACTATAACTGCAAGAAAAGCGGAAACGTATCTCGTATCTTCTATCCAGTCTACCCTTTAATTCCCTGCTTAGAGATTCTAATCTTTGTCATTGTCAGATTTGTCATTATATTAAGTGTGCATCCAGCGGCCAGACTGCATTGAGCATAATAACAATCTTTGGGCTCAGGGATATATTGCAAATATATGGAAATGTCTAGGTTTTCCAACATTAGCATTTTAATAGAGTAAGAGACCATCTCATGATTAATTTGCCTGCAGATGCATGTACAAACACATTGCCTGCAGCTCTGGCATCACACCATCTCTGTCCTCTTCCCTCGCCCTTTCTCACTCCATCCATTCCCTACACATGTCCCGTCGCTCTCGGCCTCCTCCCCCCCTCTGACCCCGCCACCCCCCCTCACCCATCTGACCGCCCCCATTCCCTGACCCATGCTGGGTCCCCGGCCCTGAGTGCCTCAACACGCTCTTAAAGGGAGAGTCTTTATCTATGTCGTTATGGATACCCCTCACAACCCACTGTAACTTTTGAATAGCGCATCTCACATTCGCGTCGTTCTCTTATCACACGCGCGCACACGCACGTCTGGCTATACAGTACTTGGAAAACACAAACGTACTCTCCAATAAATAATGCAGGCTGGTCGTATTGTTCTCAGAGAGGCGATGAATGAGAGGGAAGCTCAGTGTCTCACAGAGCTGAACATTTTTAATTTGCTTTATCTTCTTTTTCCCCATAATGATACAGGTCAGTGATACAAACACTTGATTAATCGTAAGTCGCGCCTCCCGGGCAGGTTAGAGAGACCCCCCCCCCCCCCCCTCTTGCTTTGATACCGCTGAAGTCTGCGCTCTCCCTGATCACAGCCTTCCACGTTCTCTGCTTCTTCTCAGCGTGTTTACTTCTCTGTGATCTTCTGATTACTGCTCTCTCTGTCTCCCTCTCTCTCTCTCTCTCCCCCCCCCCATTGTTGTTCCCTCTCCTGCTGCCTCGCCTCCAGTTTTTCTCTCCCACGTTCTCTCCCTTCCCCCACTCGCGCTCTTGCTTTGCTGGATTTCTTCTTTTTATTCGTTGGTGATTTTGTTGGCCATGAACGCGCTGGCTTCTGACCGTGTTTTCACGAGTGCCGTGAAAGGAGAGATTAAGACCTGTTTTTTGTGTCCTCGCGTCCCAAAAAAGTCCTTTTTCTACAGCTGAACTGCAGGGTGTTGGTAAAGGAAAAATAACTTGTATATCTGTAAACTAACATTTCGGCATACAGGTAAAAAAAAGAGACTAACAACTAATAAAATAAATGACAACTAAACATAAAATAAAGGTCAGATCATAGTGTTGCACTCTTGAGAATGTGCTTGACGGCAGAAGCTCAAACCCTAAACATTGTTCTGTTTTTTAACTTCCATATTTTCAGTTATTTTCATCACACACAACAATTCCTATGAATTCCCTCCTTCTCCAACGGAGATGTTAGGGTTTCTGCACATTAGTTCTGACCTTTTGTTTCTCCAACATGCATATTCCCCTCTGGTCGGCTCGCAGACAGTAATTAGTTTTTGACTTTATGCGTAATCTGAACTATTTTTAAATCTTACAAAGCCCCGAGATTTTTAGAGCCTTTTAATTGAATAAGCCGTGGGTTTTCTTAGTAGTTTGTCTATTAGTCTTTTTGCTCTTGCATTCTGTTTTTTATGCATTTCCCAGCACGTCACACAATAAATATTGCCTGCATGATTGCTGCAGGACGTAAGCTGTTATGTAGCTTAATTGACATTATTGCACATATGGAAGCGGTGTCCTCTCTCACCGTGTTACCGGTCTTCATGCTGCTGCAGCACGTATCACTAGGATCAAAGCGTTTGGTAGAGCGTATGGGAAGAAAAACTCTACCTTCGATTTACTTTAACCACAGAATTGCGGCCCACGAGAACGTGTTTTCAGATTTCCTGCTGTAACCTCACTCCTCATAGCAACCATGTTTCTTTAGTAGTTCGTATTTCTCTCCCCCCTCCCTCCCTCCCTGCCGTGCAGTCTTGTGCTCTCTGCTGAGTCTTATCAGTCTGTGGGATAAAGGTTAGTCGGGCCACAGTTCAGCCCTTCCATTTTGAACCGGTCAGCAGTCTGGGCTGCAGCCGCTACTCCTTTATTACCATGGCGACCTCACTGGTTGAACTCGCCATCATTATCCGAACCTCCATGGAGAACGAGGTCTCTGGGCTCATTATGGATATCATTGTGTTGCACATGCATTATACATGATTTAATCACCATATCTTCAGGAAAAGGATGCATTCCCATTTCACATCTGATGAGTGTTTTGTGCATAATGGGTTTGTTAAATGAGAAGATTGCTTTGCTATTCACACAATGGAGGAAAATCGTGTGGGTAAAAAAAAAAGAAGAAGAAAGTCCAATCGGGTGCTTGGAACAAAGATGATTCAATCCGCGGTTTAATTTATCTTATGAAATAATCTTTAAAAACTTGATTAAGGCGGCAAATCACTGTCAAAATTCGAGACCGTAAATCAAACATCCACCAGCAAATGTCCGTCTCATGATCCCCAAAACAACTTTATACTGACAAAACAGGGATGATTTGATTAGACTTTGGGTGAAGAAATCACTGTTGAGTATTTTCTATTTTCTTGATTGATTAATTATTGTGCTTTCACATTGATTGATTTGATCCAACTAATAGTCATCCGGGCTCAGAGACGCTGCTGAGACTCAATGACATCATTGGTCTGGAGTGCAGGATCCTCTCGAGGTCGTCATACCGCACAGATTTGTCCTTCACGTCTGAAGAGGTTTTTTTTTTTTTTGCAGATCTTTGCGTCCTTTGATGCTCTGTTGATGCAGTCATTGAGCTTTCTCAAAACGCAAACCATTAGACCAGCTACATGTACGAATACTGTGTTTGCTTTCAATTGTTTCTAATTATCATATTCATAATCAAAATGAGTGATACAATTTGCATAAATAGTTATTTTACATGCATCATGTTGATTACAGCTCAAGTGCCCTTTTAAACTCCCGCAGAGTGATTCAGTGGATAAATTACTTAAAGGAAAACTCATCCTTGTGTTTAGAGGTATTCCTTTGTAATGTTTATGTGTAAGCTGTAATAACTTGACATATAGTTCGACCAGTGAAAAGTTGCCCCATATTCTAATATTCCCCACATTGAGATCCTGTCTCTGTCTGCATAAAGGTTGCTGGTTAAACACAAGGTACAATAATGTGAAGTCCAGGACAAATCATTGTATCCTAGACAAAGGACAACACGTTGTATTTTTATTGTCATTAAACCAAAAGGAAAACAAGGGGAAGATAACCCTTATTTAATCTAGGCTTCCAGTAGAGTTAAGCTTTTATCTCTAATTAAATCCATTTGATTATATTTGTGGAAGGACCCTCGGTGTTTCTTCGCTGTGCTAATTGTCTCCGCGGTTTCACATAGAAACGCTTTCGGTGGCTGAGTGTAAAATCCCTCTCCCTGCATGAGGTGTGTTGTTATTAGATGAATTAATAGATCTAATCGACCCCATCCCAGAGTAACCAGGCAACTCGTTCCCCAAAAGACACGTGTTTTTAGCGTTTGCTCTGATTGTGGGACGCCAGATCCGACTCGCCCAGAAGTCTCTTCATGTCGGCCGTTGTCCTCCCTGCCGGAGTATCCTTGGGCATGTTGCTCCCTACCCAATTTATGCCGGGAATCGGTAAAGATGATATATCACATACGGTATGAGGCTCCGCAGAGGGAAGCACGAGCTGAGATCTACGGCGAGCGATCCGGAGCCAAATCTTTGTCTCTCCGTAAACAGCTCGGCCTTCTCACAACAAGCGAGCGTCAACAGAAGGATCTCGTGCCGCTCTGACCCGTAAAAACACGCGGCACAAGATGGCTTCCCTCTCCCAGGGCGGATACGACCAGCATTGTTTGCTTTTACGTCGCCGCACCACCGTCATCCTCGCCGATCAGCCGGAGCTTGATTGTAGCTCTAAACGTTTCTCGATGGGGATCGCGAGCTTCAGCTGCCTGGCTGAGAAACTGTAATTCCAGCCTGAGGAGCCCTTTAAGCACCCTGGAATGCCTTAATGAGCGCTGTCAACATATAACTATGCGCCCCTATGCATATAATAAAAGAAAATTGCTGCTTCTAGGGGGGAGGGGAAGTAACACTTGTGGAAGGTTTTCTGTTGTGTGTGTGTGTGTGTGTGTGTGTGTGTGTAACATCCAGATCTGGCCCTTTTCTTTTCAGATCCTTCTGATGTTGAAGTTTTGAATTTGAGTGACGCTAAAAGGATTTGTGTCTTTGTTCCGCCTGCAAATGGAGTTGTATGTTGTGTTTTTGTGTGTGTGTGTGTGTATCGGTGGTGCTCTGAACAGAGAAAAAGTTAATGAAGACCAGCTGGGCTTTGTTGTGCTGCGGCCGGGCTTCAGAGCCGAGCACATTCTCTGTAGCTTAGCTCACACATCTTCTGTTCAAGCCAGAACTGAAAGCAGCACTAATGGCTTTCTAGGTTTTTACTGCCAGCAGGGTCACAATATTCTTCTTCATCGTTGGTCCAAGCCGGAGCCTTAATCTAGTTTGGACATCAATGTGCAAGGTGTACATTTCTCAGGTCATGAAGAGAGTTTTTTTTTTTCTTGATGCATTTTGCAGCTTTTAAAAGGAGGATCATCCTCTCAGGTTTGCATGAAATAGAAATGCAGTATACAAGTAGGATGCTGCTGTACTGACAGTTGTTTATATTATTTTGTCCAGCCTATTTAAATGAGAGAGGATATATTAGACAGTGTAGGAAACCCAGAATGCTGAATTCACTTGGGCTTCAACTATTCAATAACATTATTAATTAACCAGACTATTATTTTCTCTCATTGAGGAAACAATTTATTTAAACTAAATATGCGTTGTGTGTCCTCCCTCCTCTTCACCATAAACATCGGAGATCATTTCCCTATCCGTCACTCTGCCCACCTGTCTCTCCATCCGTGTCCATGACGGCGCCTTTTGTTTAATTCCTGATGGTTAAAACGCTGTTTCAAAGCGGCTGGATTGATTTAAGTTGATGTCAGATCCTCGTACATCAAGTCTATTCTCTTTTATAAAGCTGTTGGTCTTCAGTGGGACAAACGCGTGGTTTGGGATTTGTTGATTGTAATGAAAGTCGAGTCTCTAAATGTCCGTCCCAATGAAATGGTCTTGTTCTAATAGGCGGAAGTAAGATTCTCTATAACAGTGGTGACGGTTCTGTTTTGTGGCTTCATTTATTTCTTCTTCCAGAGAAGAGAAGTCAAGACTTTAGTCGTTGAAAACGTGTTCTATATTTGATGCAAAGTAATTCTTAATACTTCTTTCCTCAACTGCACTGAAACTGAGGATCTGCCTCCGTTAAGCGTGATTAAAACAAACGTCCTTCATGTTAGTCATGTTTTCTGTTTAAAATGATCCAAAGTCAAACCTGCAGTTCACAAATACACTTTGCTGGTTTGTAATATGATGATAACGTGTCGTATCTTATGTCCTGGAGATGATACATTTGCTGGTAGATTTCATTTTTCTCCATGCTCATATTTCACGAGTCATTTTTGGAATATTAGTTAGTAAAACTGTCAACCTTTCTCCCTCAATCTTCTTCGGATGGACATGAAACGCCAAATGTTTTTCTCCATTATTACTACACTTCATTATGTTTGTTGACTTAACATAAGAAACCAAACTTAAAATAGATTAAAAGTTTGACAATTTAGGAAATGCACCTAAAATCATAAGAATGATCATCATAAGATCCTAAACGAAGCCTCTGTGGGAGTTTGTGTGTGTGTGTGTATGTGTGCGTGGGGGTAAAAGTAAGATGGTGTGTGTAAGTGAGAAAAAGAGAGAGAGGGGGAGGAGAGCGGGGGAGACATCCATCAAAGCCCATTCCAACCCTTCTCATATCTCTCCCAAACCACACACATTGAAACACCAGAATAAAAAAATCTGCTGCCAAAGAGAGAGTTATAGAGCGATAGAGAGATGATGGGGGGGGGAGAGAGAGAGAGAGCAGGAGGGGACAGAGTGAGAGAGCTCTTTCTATTTATAGCCCGTGAGCCCGGAGAGGAGGAAGACTGTAGTTCGAAAGCACACTCTGCGCGTACGATTTTGTTCTGCGGTAAACAACCTGCCGCCCCGAACATGCAGGAACGGGAAGAAAATCTAGCGCTAAAGAGAAAAATGTTGGCGCTGCGGTTGTAATATTTTCTGTACGAGCGCTGAAAGGAGGAACGTGATTGGTCTGGTAATCATCCACTTCATGTTCCCTCCATGTGAAGACATGACCTCCCCGTGCTCTCTCCTTCTGGCTGGGAGCTGCTCACGCGTGCACGCCGATGCCGTCGTATCTGTTTTGAACCGTCACTCACCGACGGTGAAGCGTTATTTTGAGTGATTAAAGCAACAATCACGATTCCCACACACAAAACACACACACGCACACACACACTTAGGCAAGCTTCAGGCCGAAAGGCCCCCGCTGACATTCAGCACGTCTCTCAAAATGTGACTGGCACACACAAAAGGAGGTTGCACTGTGTGTATTTAAGCTCACTATTTCACCTTGATTCCAGTCTTTATGCTAAGCTAAGCTAATCGCCTCCTACGTGTAGCTCATCCTTGCCTTCCGACATGAGAGCGGTTTCAAAATACGCGTTATTCCATGAAATGTTCTGATGGTCAAACAGAAAACACTCAGGTCAGATCTTAGCCGGCTTGTTTCATGCCTCTTTCTAACACACAGACACACACACACACACACTTTTCTTGTCTTTGCCAACTTCCTGTCTCTTTAATGGGGGCTGGGTCAGTAGCACCAGTTATTTCCAGCACCTCTCTGTGGGCCTATAAATAGAACACACACACATTTTCTCCCTCTTCTTCACCTCCGTGTGAGGCTTTCTGTTTTGACGTCCAGGTGTTCTTTAGCTTTGCACGCCTACGACACCTAACCAATAATGATAATTATACGGGGGGCCCCCACCGGTACATCGCTGACCACACACTTCTGGTTTTTCTTGCTCTGCTGTACATTAAAAACAGTGGTGTTGTGTTCTGTAAGGCTTGCTCTCATTTATCCCGTTCGCCGTTTAAAACTCTGTGCGTGCGTGTTTACTTTCCTGGTTATTAAAAAAGTGTCTCCTTCCTCTTCCTCCTTCCTCTGCAGCCTCGGACAACAGCCAGCGATTTCAGGAGACGTGTTTCGCCTTTGCGTTGACGCCACAACAAGTCCAGCAGATCAGCAGCTCGATGTAAGACGCCCGGCTCCCCGCGATCAAGACGTGCACGGTTTCTACAGCCATGTGGTGACACGTCTGTTTTCTGTCCTTCAAAGGGACATCTCGGGGACCAAATGTGATTTTTCAGTGCAAGTCCAGTTGCGGTTTTGCCTGTCGGAGACCAGCTGTCCTCAGGAAGACCATTTCCCGCCCAATCTGTGTGTGAAAGTCAACGGGAAGCCGTGCAACCTGCCGGTAAACAATCGGCGCGAGGCGACTTTGTTCTACCGCTGTTCCTTCCATTCGCTGCCTCGTCCCCCCGTGTTGTTGTTGAATCCATTTGAATTTGAATATTTGCAACAAAAAGGCAAATTTTCTTATTTCTTTTTTTTTTTTTTTCCTTCTCTGACATCAAGGGTTATCTCCCTCCAACCAAAAACGGCGTGGAGCCTAAGCGGCCCAGCCGGCCCATCAACATTACCTCACTGGTCAGATTGTCCACCACCGTCCCCAACACCATCGTGGTGTCGTGGACCGCTGAGATCGGAAGGGTAAGAGCTCATTGTCAAGTAATTGAACCAAACATTGGCTCATAAAAGATGTACAAGCTTTTTTTTCTTGTCCTTGTAACTGATAGTTTGAAATGTATTATATCCATAAACCATCACATGATTGGTGACTTTTGATTTAATTGTTTTTTTTGTTCACGTATAAGACAAAATGTTTAGAAAAAATCCTCATTTGCAGCCTCGGTTATCATCTTCAATCTAACCTATCCAATTATTTATAGAAAGTAATTCATTTAGGACTTAATGACCGAACATTCTCCCGTCGTGCACATTTCTGTCTACACTTACTCATCTTTATAAGTTATCGTTGAAAATCATTGTTATGATGAATATGCCAATTTATTAAGTGGCTGCAAATTTGATTGCAGGGGAGTATTTGTATTGAGAATCATCACATACCAGTATTTCTGTTGCTTGCACAGTGCCTGAAGGGCTCCCAGCACAGCAACACAAGAAGTAAACAACAGGCAGGGAGGGGAAGGACAAGTGTGTGAAGTGTCTGCAGATATCTGCAGACACCTTCACACACTTGTTGTGGGTCATAAGGGATGATGGAGAGGGATTCTTTTTTGTATGACATTGTGTTTTTGAGGAAAGCTTCTGCTGAATGAAGGCGGATTACAGTGAATGACAAAATCTCCTTTTCAATACAAAGGAAATCTTTTTAAAAGTACACTTCACCTGGTGTGGCGTACATGATCTCATATGATGAGTTATATTCAGTGGCGTCTCTCACAGGCTGAACACACATCGGCCTCAGAGTAGTAGTAAGATTTCCTTAACATTACATGATAATAACATTCTATAGGAGTCAGGACTTAACCAGAAATGTCACCAGGTGAGAGATGGTTAATACTCGTGTCATTGCACGTGTTGCTGTGTGTTCAGAGTTACTCCATGGCGGTGTACTTGGTGAAGCAGCAGTCATCCACAGTGTTGTTGCAGAGACTACGAGCAAAAGGCATCAGAAACCCGGACCACTCCAGAGCCCTCAGTAAGATCCGTCCACCTCTCTTTTTCCATCACCTGATCCAGCATGCAGCATCGATACCAATGCAGATGTTTGTATTATTCATAAGCTCATTAAAAACGTTGTTTATTACAAAAATTCTGTGTTCCTACTAGCAGATGCTTTATAAGCACACCACTGGCGTCATAATGAATTGCCCCAGATGGGTTTCACACAGTGGTTATACACATTTTTAATTTGGGGGGAAAAGAGAGAACTGATGTTTCTATATCAGAATGTGTTGAGGTGTTTTTAGAGGAAAAGGGTCTTAATGCTGCATCCCAACTCCTTTTAAAGATAACTGTTCACGTCTATGAATCCAAATCACATGTTACCTGCCTAATGCGTGCGTGTTTATGAGGGCAGCGTGGTGCATGTACGGTAAGTTTCACAATATTCCCTTTTTTTTCATTAAGTTCATATTTAATTCAACGCCTTGTCTGTTTCATGAGCAAAATGTATGGAACTGTTAAAACAGTTCTAAGCTACGTGGCTCGACACCAATTGTCTGTCTCGATGTGTTTTATACCAGTGAGAAGGGATGCATGCGTGGCGTGGACTAGTTCTTCAACACAAGGACCTCGAACGTCACTATTTGTAACCTCGATTTGAAACTAAGCATTTCTCCTGTTTGTTTCTCTCTCACTCGTTGGTTTTCCTTCCCTTCTGCAGTCAAAGAGAAGCTGACAGCAGACCCAGACAGCGAAATCGCCACCACCAGCCTTCGGGTGTCGCTGCTCTGCCCGGTAAACGGCCGTCTCTTTATCAATTGCAGCCGGTGCTTAGGGACGCAGTCATGCGTCTCCGTCCGCTCTCTTCTTTGCTCGTGTCCCAACGTGTCCACATGCCCTTTGCTTTGGGTTGTGTACACGGCCCATCTGCCTGCTCAACCCCTGTCATGCACCTTTTCCATGTGGGTTTGGCATGTTTGTGACATTTACGCGTCCCGTAAACACCCCGTCCTCACTGTGCGTGTGTGTCTTTGTGTGTGTGTGTGTGCAGCTGGGGAAGATGCGGCTGATGATCCCATGCCGGGCGCTGACATGCTCCCACCTGCAGTGCTTTGACGCCACACTGTACATCCAGATGAACGAGAAGAAGCCCACCTGGGTTTGTCCTGTCTGTGACAAGAAGGCCCCCTACGAGCACCTCATCATCGACGGGTAAGTCAGCCACGCCGGCTTCTCTCCAATCTCGCAAAGGAGCCGCCTGTGACTGGTGCACAGGAGGTATAGAGGGTTACGTCGTACGCTTTGGTGGCGCTGGGACGACGGAGCGAGGCTAGCTGTGGTTTCCAGCCGTTATGCTACGCTAAGCTAATCAGCTGCTGCATTTAAATGACAGTGGATTCAATCTACTCGTATAACTTTCTGTGAGTGAACTGAGAAGCTCGCATCCCTTTGTTATTATGTTTTCCAACACAAAAAGGAGGAAGAAGTCTGAAATATTTCTGCAGCGCCCGTCCTCTTGTTTCAAACACTGTTATTTTCCCAACAAACAGTTATGTTTTACACATGTTACTTCATATTTTCTTTTGTTTTCTTTTCGGTTGTCCGTTCGTCCCATTCATGTCAGCGTGGATCGGGTCCAGCGAACATCCAGGACATGGTCAAACCCTACATCCCAACCCGCACTGCATCTGCAAAATTACTCGTCCCTCCCTCACTGAGAGCAAAACACTCGACTAGATCACGACTCTTCGCTGTCCTTGCGCCGAAATGGTGGAACGAGCTCTGTGAAGACACCAGGACCGCAGAGAGCCTTCACATCTTCCGCCGCAAACTACAGACACACCTCCTCAGACTCTACCTCGACTAAAGACTAACAAATTGTAGCACTTAAATTGTACTTGTAACGTCACTCATCTATAGCAAATTGTGAATTGGCTTATTTGAGGAAATTGCACTTTCTTGTTCTCCTGAGTTTGTACCCTATGGTTGAATGCACTTATTGTACGTCGCTTTGGATAAAAGCGTCTGCTAAATGACACGTAATGTAATGTAATGTAATGTGATCCCGGTGGCTTGTGTGTGGGGGTCAAATGTCAAGGTCACTCAAAAAGATGTTACATTACATGTCATTTAGCTTAAGTCTAACTTACAATAAGTGCATTTCAAACATAAAGATACAGACTCAAAAGAACGAGAAAGTGCAATTTCATTAAATTCACTAAATTTTCATTTAATTTCACTATATTTCATTTAGAACTTGCTATAAATATGTGTTTTAGTGGAGTGTGATGAGGTGTGTCTTTAGTCTGAAGATGTGAAGGCTCTCTGCGGTCCTGGTGTCTTCAGAGAGCTCGTTCCACCGTTTCAGAGCAGGACAGAGTGGTGATCTAGTCGAGTGTTTTGCTCTTAGTGAGGGAGGGACGAGCAGTTTATCAGATGCAGAGTGGAGAGTGCGGGTCGGGATGTCGGGTTTGACCATGTCCTGGATGTAAGCTGGACCCGATCCATTCACAGCATGGTACGTGAGCACCGATGTTTAGAACCGGATGCGGGCGGCCAACAGAGCCTGAATCAGTACCTGCGCCGCCTTCTGAGTGAGAGGGGGACGTGTTCTCCTGATGTTGTAGAGCGTGTATCTACAGGATCGCGTTGTTGCTGTAATGTTGGGAGTCAGGGAGCGTTGACTGTCGAGTGTCACGGCGAGGTTCCCAGCAGTCAAAGTGGGCGCTGACTTTGAGACGGTGAGCGGACATCCACTGAGAGATGTCAAGTCAGACAGGTGGAGATCTGTGCCGCCACCTGAGTGTCCGAGTGAGGGAAGGAGAGAATTAGTTGGGGGTCATCGGGGCAGCTGTGGTAAGAGAAGCCGTGCGAGCGAATGAGATATTGAGATGAGGATCTGGTGGTTTACTCTGTCAAATGCAGCAGAAAGGTCCAGCATGATGAGGAGAGAGAGGCGGCTCTAGCAGAGACAGCGACGAGAGCGGTCCCTTTGGGGGTCAAGGAGGTTGTTACGGTGGAGAAAGGAGGAGAGTTGGTTAAAGATCGCACAAAAAGAAAAGAAGACAGACCGGTCTGTAGTTGTTTTCACTCAAATATATAATCGGATCGAATGTTGAAGTGACTCCCGGGCAGACATGGATGTGAATTTGAATAGTTAGCGAACACATACAAGCCTGAAACGGTGACTCGACTTCATTTCACTTTCCTCTTCCTTTGTTCATTGTCATGCACCTAAACATCGAGGAAATTCTTCTATGTGTGAACCACGTAAACACAATTCTGGATCTGAAATAAGTAAATTAAGGTTGAGTGTAAAAGTTCCTCCCTTGACTTCGGAGTACTGAACTCAAACGTTGGGATGTTTATACACTCGTATACAGTACAAGCGCTCACACAAATTGTTGATACGATTAATTCAAATAATAATGTGAGGCCTTTTCAAAGGGTTGAAATTCCCTCCCGTGAGCATCCTGTGGGCTTGACAGTCAGTTTAGATTCACAGCAGCTGGGTCAATAGAAACGTCTCGTTCACAGATTAATCCACTTTTTCAGTATGTTCAAAACACTCTTAATATGAAAAGGTCGAGGCATTCCTTTCAAACCCTGAATCAGTGTCCCTGTGTGTTTGTGCACATTTCCTCGCGGTGGGTTCGCCCGTGACGTGTTTGGTTTGTTCTCAGGCTTTTCGTGGAGATCCTCAACAGCTGCATGGACTGTGACGAGATCCAGTTCAAGGAGGACGGCAGCTGGGCCCCCATGAGGTCGAAGAGGGAAGTGCAGGAGGTCTCCTCCGCCTCCTACAACGGACTGGACGGTGAGAAACAAAACAGAAAGGCCGCCGTCGAAGCCTCGGACTAATTCAAAAAAGGACGAGAGAGATGTGGAAATAAATCTGTGTCTGTCTTAATTCTTTTGAGGCATCCATCATGATGCTACTAAGCTACGTGCTTGTCGCCATAGTAACAAATACACCCATAGTAAAGACGTTTGTATGAGTGCATATTAACTCACAGATGTGTTTTTTACTTTGCAAACGTAATATTCACCCGCAGGTTCGCGTCGGACGTCCGCAGGCTCCGATCAGCTGAGCTCCTCGTCCTCCAGCGATGGCAGCAGCGGCAAGAAAGTGGAGGTGATCGACCTGACGCTGGACAGCTCGTCGGAGGACGAGGGAGAGGACTCGCCGCCCCCGCAGCCGCAGCCGCCGCCCCCGCTGCCCCCGATGCCCCAGCGGTCGTGTCCCTCCATGTCACCGACCTCGCCGCCCATCGCCAACAAAGGGTCAGACACACAAGCCCGCACAAGAGCGTCTGATTTGGTCTGGGCGTTCAGTCTCTCGTTTTAAGATGGACGGTCAGTCGTGTGTCCAGATGCTGAATGATTCATGAGGTTTGCGCTCGACACGCGTCTCCACCGAAGGAAGCAGAGCGGGCGGAGTGACAGTCTTGACTGCTTTAAATTCGATGTGTAGATCTCAAAATTGCTGACTTTGCACAAGAGAAATTCCAAATGTTTTGCACATAGGCATAAAAAACATTAGTTGAGCCAGCTGTAATTCAACATGTATATATAAAACCTCAAGACAAAGTTAAATACCTGACAAATCCTTCAGGATCAGGAAGAATTAGTCACTCGCCAAACAAACAGAGCTGATAAAGATGTAGAATGGGAGGAGCTATGTTAGAAAATGGTTCTTTTGAAAAGAGGGGTCAAGCTTAAAGTTATTAAGTGTGCTTTGATCAGAGAAATCCCCATACAGCTCATCTGTGCGGCTTCATTTGACTCTTTAGCGGCCGCTGCTGTTGCCTCGACGCTAAGCGGCTTCCTTTGGTTCTGCCCTCAGGGTGTTGAACCTGCACCACCAGGTGTCTCCCGTGAGCCGCACTCCCAGCATGCCAGGCGTGGACACCAGCTACATCCCCCCGGTGCCGCCACTCATCCAGGACTACAGACCCTACTACCACACGCCCAACGACCTGTCGGGTAAAGAGAGGGTTTTACAGGAGCGAAATCCATGGCTCAGAAACAAAAATACAACACTTTTAATCCCCTTTTTAAATCGTCTAAAAAGTCTGTGTTAAGATCTTTACATTAATCACACGCAGCAAAGCCAACACACCTTTTTTGCAAATTATACTTAAGATCCCAATGTATTAATGTGTCGATGAACTCCTGTGGAAACTGAACAGGTTGTCAAAGGAACTTGTTTGTATTATTTTGTCTTCCATTGAAGATTTAATGCTATTTTTTGTGGGGTGGAAAAAAACACCAGATCCCTCTGCTTGTATATTATGCCCTTAACTTGAAAACACACAATGTATTTGCGTCTTTAATATCCTCCATTGAATCCCCTTGTGCTCGATTTTCCAGAGTTGAACTTCTTCTCTTTTCTTCAAGGCGACAATCATCAGGTACGTTGACAGCACGTCCCTGAATGCAGCAGCTGGAATAGTTTTGTTTTGAGCGAAGTCCTTGAAGCCTGTGACTCCGGTTCAGTTAAGAATAACTAAACAGCTGCGACTCTACGTGGAACCAAACATTCTACCTCTGCTCGGCAAACAAACAAAGCACCCTGTGACACACGCAAAGCTGTGAAATACTTGAACACGTTTGTGGACATGAACATAAAATGTCACACAACTTGATGTGCTTCACTTCTCCTTTTCTCATCTTTTATTCTTCTCTGTCGGAGACATAGTAACTAAAGAGTTAACATTTAAAAGCATATTTCAAAATAAATACGGGAAAGGTTTTGTTGCTCCTGTCAGTTCAGGTTCTATTTATCCGGCTTAAGCTTTTTTCCCTTAAACTGCGTCCCCGCGTTGGCTCTGTGATAGTATTCTTTAACAAATTAATTCTACATCAATTCTACCAAGTAGAGACCCGATGTTTTCATTCATCTCGAGTAATCGTGAGTATTTAAAGTGCACTTAATGAAGTGTCAAAACTCGAGTCAAAACTTCATCAATGTTGTATTTTCTTTTTTACTTTTGCTGCATAATTGATTTGTGAACTTTTGTGAGACTAAAAACACGAAAACGCTTTTCACCGCTGCCTCCGCTCGTGTGTTTCCAGCATTACAACATGGTGATGGCAGCCGCAGCCGCCGCTTCGGCCTCGGACGACCACGAGCTGCTCCTCAACCGCTTCCTGCCCTACGGCACCTCCTCCTCCTCCTCCCAGCTGTTCCTCGACCAGTCGGGGGCCTCCTCGGCCGCTTCGCTGACGGCGCCGACCAACGGGGCGAGCAGCTCGGGCAGCAGCAGCAGCCTGGTGTCGTCCAGCAGCCTCCGCGACACTCACTCCGCGCACTCCTCGTCGCACTCCTCGCTCTCCTCGCACACACACCCGGGGGGCGTGGCCGGCCGGAGCGGCGCCGAGGCGGCGGCGGTGGCCGCGGCTATTTACGGCGGGATACCCGACGTCATATCGTTGGACTGACCCGAGATGGGTGGAGACTGCGCTCTGGGTCCAGCTGCGATCCAGCGACAAACCTTGTGACTGCAGGGTACGGTTTGGATCCAGGAATTAGCCCCCCCCCCCCCCCCCCATCCCCATTTCTCCCCCCGAGTTATCGAACTGGGAACAACTGTGGCGACGCCGCCTCAAAAAGAGCACTAATGTTGTGAGCGGGCGCCGTCCCAGGACTGACCCGAGAACAGTACAGAGTCATCGCTCAGAGGGGTCGGCTGGGGACGTTCTGTCTCGGATCAGGAGCCGGTCCAGCACGTAACTGGTACCAACCCGGCGCTGACAGCAGAGACGCCACCTGAGAAAAAAACACAAAAAAGGGGAAGGCTCTTTTTTACCAAACCAAGGAGTGGCGCCGTGTACAGAGAACAAAATCTATTTTCCTCTTTTACTTTTCTATGTTATGGGGACTTTTTCCGTCTAGTGAGCTGCTTCGATCCCGGTTTTTAAGTGGAGGACTGAGGGTTTTTTTCAGAAGCTTATACATATGCATCCTGCCATGTGGTTTTGTTTCTCTTCTTTTTTTTTATTCTGCTTGCATTTAGTTTTATTTGCATTTCTGCAAAACAAACTTCAATTCTCTTTCTCACCTGCTCGAGTTGTATAATTTCTCTGTCCAATGACAAGAACACTGAATTTTAGTCATATGCTAATACTTTTATTACGCTTTTAAGTTATGTGTATTTAAACAGTCATACAAAACAAGGATATATATATACATATATATATTTATATGTATGCATTCCCTTTGACCTGCAGGTTGATGCCGTGGGGATCGTGCAGGTGGAGATGAGCCGTTTCTGGTTTCTCAATTTCTCTTTTCTCTTGATTTCCAACTCCTCACAAAGTCTCGGCATACAGCATTTAGTAAGGGAGACTTTTAGACTATTTATTACGGCCACATTAGAGTTTTGAGCTGGAAGAGTTTCTTTTTGTGTCCTTTTTTTTTTTGCACTATGCCAAAAATAAGACACGGTACTTATGAAAATCCTCGCGTTAATCCGAGTGCAGTTGGATCCGTGTGCCACAGTGTTTCCAGTCCGCGTCCACTTCTTCCGTCCCTGCCCATCATTCATTCAGAGACTTCAAATGTCCTCTCGGTGTCGTCGTCGTCCTGCTCGTCAGCGCGACGAAGGCCGAGCTGTCGTAGCAGCCTTTTAAAGGCCGGCGTCCGTGGCATGTGACCAAGTTTATACTGGTGCCTGTTTGTGTGCTCGCCTCACAGCGCGTCGGGGACGTTTGAGTCGTCACGCTCAAAAGAATGTCTTAAAGTTCAACCGAGTCCCTCCGTTAAGCTCCGGACTTGCGACCCACGTCTTTGGCGTTATCCAGCGAGTTCATCGTTTGGGGGGGAAACGGCTTGTGGGAAAAGGAAGGAGGGAGATCTCAGCACGCCAACGTAGACGGGGCTCAGAGGTCACTGGTTTAAAAAGTAAAAAAAGATGCAAAGAAAGCCACAAGGTCGTCGGGGGGGGGGGGGCGATGGGAAAGCGTCAAAGCGAGGCAGAGCCCCTCGATCCAGCTCATGAATGTATTGTGGTATTTTGAGAGTGGACACACATCAGCTTCAAACATTCCCGTCTTTTAAGTTTGTCCTCAATTGTCCACTTCCAGACATCTGAGGCACGGAGTTCATTTCTCACAAGCCGAACTGTGTGTGTGTGTGTGTGTGTGTGTGTGTGTGTGTGTGTGTGTGTGTCCCCATGAAATAATCCCCTCTGACAGCTTGAGCGGACACCCCGTCGTGCCCTTCAACCAACTGGGAGCGTCGCCCAACGCGGCCCTCTTCTCTACCGACACCTTTCATTTCCCTCCCTGCTCTTCTCCTGCGGTGGAACCTGCGGCTCTCACACTGAACCAGTCCCGCGTCGTGCAGTATTTTATTTATTTTGTGTTCTTATTTCTACATATGATATTTTTGAAACATGGCTTGATTTCCACGGGTGAGCGCGTCAGTCACTGTCACTTGGGAGCTGTTGTTTTTAAATTGTCTTTATTTAAAATGTATTTTATTTTTGTTTGTCAGAAGCTGTTTTTGTTTTTAAAGGTACGGATTAGTTATTCGTCGTAGAAAGACCCCTGTGTGTTCTCTCAGTAGCTCACATGAGTAAATATGGTAAGAATAACGAGGACACAAAGCACATGTTCATTTCATCATGAATGATTTCCAGATGTTTTATTAATTCCTGTTGCTGACCAGGTCACCGGGGGCGTATGTGATTAGTTAACGCTTAATAGATTCTATTAATGAACTCAAAGTTACTTCACTTATTCATTTATCTGAATAATCTCTGGTATTGTTGTCAGGTCATTGAGGTCAGTTGCTTCCCCACTTAAATATCTCCATTAAAGGGACACTTATGTACAGACCTCCTCGTTCCCAGAGGATGAAACACAACTTACTGTGCAGATCCTGACATCGTTTCACATACTGTACTGAGCTGTACTGATTGGCACACGTCAACATGCTGCTGAACATTGTACCTGGTGAACATCTGCACGTTAGCATCGATCATCCTATTCCGACATGACGTAACTTTTAAGCTCATCACCTGAATGTCCGTCATGCGTGAACTCATCCCATAATTCACCACACACCCTGGTTTGTTTCACGCATCAAATCACGGTGAGCCTGTGTGTTTGTACCTTCGTATTATGAAGAGTTACCCAGACGTTCTACACTGAAGATGAATCGCCAGTGTGTGAAGGCGTGACAATGAATGCATGAATCTGACCACGACTTCATTTATCTCAAACTTCCACACGCTGGGCTCTGCATGGGCTTACCGACTGGTCTCAAAGCTCCATCCTGTGGTGCACACTCGCCAGATGTCTGAGGGAGGAACTGTCATTATTATGCTGGGGGGGGGTGGGGGGGTGTTAATTTTTTGGTGAAGTAACAGATTGCATGCAGGGATGGACAAGCGAGATGCTGCTGCCTGGAGTCCCACATGTGTGCGCAGTACCTGCAGAGCGTTTTTTTTGGGCAGCAGCTTACGTGTTTGTCACGACGTCTCGCCGTGGTCAAAAGGGAAACGTCCAGCGTGTGTGTTTTGTGTCCGTATGAAAACCCGAGAGTTGGGATCCAAACGTGGGTGCCTGATGTCCGTTTGTATGCTTTTTGTGTGTCAATTCAGAGCAAGAGAATAAATTAATTTATATATTTTTTAGAAAATAACAGCTGTACTATTATTAAAAAAAAAAGGACTGTGGCCAATAAACAAGAGCAAGGATCTACAAGTCGGGCTTAAGTTGATATCTGCACTCACTGCCTTAAAACATTCACAGGTTCTGTTTCACGGGTCCAATCCCAGAAAAATCATAAAAAGGCTTTTGGAGGAGTCAACGAGAGGACGTGTACAGGAGACCCTTGTCAGTTTGTACAAATATACCAAGTGTAAAAAAAAGAAAATATTTATTACCTGCATTGAAGAAATTGTTTACTTATTGAATGTTACTTGTTTATGTAGAGACGTTTAGATGTAATAAAATGCATTATGTTATTTCTTTGTCTTTTCCATTATTTTCAAAGGATGGGATTTATCCCTTCTGGAGGAAAAGGTTACTGTCAAATTACATTTTTAAACCTCCCGTCTGTTACACTTGGCAGTGAACGCTGGGTGGCGTCAGAGTGACGTTTTCACACAGCGGGACCTGCGCTGCGAGGCCGAAGAACAAATTACGCACGCGTTGTCAACTCCATCCGACGCTTTCCCGTCTGTGGCAAGACCTTTATATAACACAAACGTATTCAATCATTCATGAAGAGGTTTAACTTTTGATTGAAAGTGAAGGAAGGAAGCCGATGAGTGCACTACGTTACGCGCCATCGCGTCAAACCAAATGCCAACCAGAGTGGACGCACCGTCAGATCTGGCAGCAGTGATGTCGGGTGATGGTGCATCTTATAAAAGACACGAGGGGCCAAACCGGCACAGGAAGGTGGGGGTGTTCGTGTCACTCCAACATCCAGCTCTACTTGGACAGAAATGTTTGATCCATCCGAAGTATAGGCAGCGTGGAGAGTCCCCGAGCTGCTGACATCATGGATGAGGAGAATGGGAGCGTCTGTTGGAACAGTTCACTGGTCGAGGTCGACTGTTTCGGCAGCCTGGAGGACATCGACGTGACAGCCGACGGCAGCCCGATTCTGAGGCTCCTCATCTGCAGTGTTTATTCGGTCGTGTGCGCCGCGGGTCTGGTGGGCAACGTGCTGGTCCTCTTCTTCATCAGGGTCAAACAGGAGAGGAAGACGTCCACGGTGAACTTCTTCGTGCTCAACTTGGCCGTGACGGACCTGCAGTTCGTGCTCACTCTGCCCTTCTGGGCCGTGGACACCGTGCTGGACTTCAGCTGGCCGTTTGGAGACGCCATGTGCAGAATCATCCTCTCGGTCACCGTGATGAACATGTACGCCAGCGTGTTTTTTCTCACCGCCATGAGCGTGACCCGCTACTGGTCGGTCTCCTCGGCCCTGAACAACCGAACCGCGCAGAGGTCCTGTTCCGCCAGGTGGACGTGCGCAATCATTTGGACACTGGCGACTTTGGCGACTGCGCCGACGTCAATTTTCTCAACTCTCAGCAACGTAACTGGGGAAAATCTCTGTTTGCTGAGGTTCCCCGGTGGGCAGTACTGGTTGGCCGTTTATCACATACAGAAAATACTCGTGGGTTTTGTCTTGCCGATGACCATCGTGTCCGTCAGCTACATCCTGCTGCTGCGTTTCATCAACAGCCGGAGTATGAAAACCAGCAACACCAAACGCAGATCCAAAGTGACCAGATCCGTCACCATCCTCGTGTTGTCCTTCTTCCTGTGCTGGATGCCGAACCACGCCATCACCCTGTGGAGTGTACTGGTCAAACTGAACGTCGCACACTGGGACAGAGCGTATTACATTGTCCACACCTACGTGTTCCCTCTGACCGTCTGTCTGGCTCACACCAACAGCTGCCTGAACCCCATCATTTACTGCCTGATGAGGAAGGAGTTCAGGAATAAACTGAGGGGTCTGATACACAGAGGGTGATGTTTTATGGAGCTTTGTGATGTGTTTAACCAAGAGTGACCAAGACGCACCGGGTGCGCACGGTGAGCGAGGCACGGAGCGAGAGAGGAGGGAGGAGGAGGAGGTTTTCAGAGAGTACAATGAGAAGAAGCAACATTACGTATGCCAGGATACTTCATTCTGATTATAGAATAATGTAATTTTAGTGTGCGCTTCTTGTTTTTAAAGCCCTGCTACTGTAGCTTCCTTTGATGTGCATATATATACACCTTCTTCGCTGGTTCTTGGGCTTTACGCATAGCGCATTTATGGCCGTGGCAGTGCCGGATAAATTTACACTACAAGTGGCGTGTTTCTAGTCAGTCCTTTGACGTGTGTGCGCATTTGAGAATGGTGATTAATTACCAATAGCTTGCATTGTAAGCTGAACAGGTGTAGCCGCGCTTTTCTACATCCATCTGTGACTGTCTTATATGAAAACATGTGACCCACCAAAGCACCATCACGCATACTCACGACTCCCCAGAGAGCCTCCTGAGGCTCAGACAAAAAGCTCCTCTGGGATGAGTTTAGCGCAATCGCAATTTCTTCTTCTTAGCTTTTCTTCAAGGGATTTGAACTTGCATTCTTCCTACTGACCAGCAGGGGGCGGTTCCTCTTGCGCAGATTTTACTGAGAAAATAAATCAATGAGGAAAATCATGCTAATTCTCTTCAATGGCAGCTGGTTTTTCAGCAAAGATCCCAAGTTGATTTAATGCAAAACAATTCAGTAGGCAATTCAGTATAGTATAAAAATTCAGTATAGTATAAAATATACATAGAATAATAACCTGTGCAATATAATATGTTTTGTCCATATGTCCGTCGTCTCGTCTGCTTGAAGGTGATGCAGTCCGTCCTTCACTTCCTTCACTTCCTTCAAAATGGCATCCTCCTTGACCACAGCGTGCAAACTTGGGGCAAAACCAATGTTCCAATGAGTCCATTTAAGGACGCTGATTGGCTAAATTGTATGTAGATGTCATATTTTACAAATATTCATATGTTCCATAGTTCGAAAATTGACGTTTGTTATAATTTAATATATTTTTGTTTCTTTTCTTATTTTTGGGGCTCAAGGAGAGGCGCACCATTGCCCTCCATTGGCCAGCGGTCTCTGCTTCTCGCTATTAACATGAATAGGAGTTCATTTCTCAATTGCATTTTCTCAAGCCTTCTTGAATTCAGCATGTAGTTGATTTCGTAAAGGGTCCCACTTAAATGTTAAATGAAAGCTTGTCACCAGTGGCGTCTCTACCACAGGGCGCTCCAGATACTGAATGCTTGCTGCCATTGACTTCAACAAACAAATCCCAAGATGGCAATGATTAAACCGGAGTCTCCATAACCGCCGCCCACCAACCAATGCGTCGCGTAACGGCCGCTGTCTCCCCCGTTGGTCTGTGGACTCACGTTTTGAAGCCTGAATTTGGGATTTTCTGAAATTGCCATCTTGGTGTTTGCAACCAACAAGAGGGTTGAGTACAACGGAACGCTGAATAACCAAACGGGTCATTGTAATAAGTTATTAGCTCAACAACAGAATGTTTAAAAAATGATTTCTGTAAAATAACGTGTGATAATAAAAATGTACCCAAGTGAACTCACGCGGCTTAGTTTCCCTCTCTAATAACAAGTGGAGTCCATTGCATGGTTTTAACTTGTAAGTCTAATCACAAAGTTTCTCCCTGAACTGCAGATTGAAGTTTGTGGAGGAGATACTCAGCCATCATCATCATCATCATCATCATCATCACACACACACACACAGCGTGCAGCACAAACAGTCTCTGATTGGCTTCCTGCTCAACATCAGGAGCTCTTCACTATCACTCATCACTCGACACACTGAGCGGATCGGTGAGACGCACAGACACAACACATTTTCATAACAGAGAGCTCGCCTCACAGGACGGGCCCCGGCTGCCGAATACAATTGAACCAAATGTCGGCACTACATTGATTGATAAGTGAGCCACTTATAGTAGGAGGAAGCATTCAGAGAGACGTTCAGTTTTCCATTTTTTCGTAATTATTGGACAAGTTGCTGCTGATGCTGTTCATATTTTATGACTCGTTAAAACAAACACAGCGCATGAAACGGTATGTTTCTCGAGATAAAGATATAAAAAGCAGAAATTTGAAGGAAAATGGGTTTGTTTACTTATATGAGAGTAAGGGGGAAATGATCCAATACTGGTGTATGAGCTGAACAACGTACGTCTCACGTGTCTCAGCAGGATGCAAAGGCAGAAGCAGCAGAGGGACGGTGTGTGTACCGTTCAGAAGATTGTACCATCAGTATTCCGGGACACGTTGACCAGACACACTGTGTCTTCTCAAATTGTGCAACAGACCCTATTGATGAGAAAACAAAGCTTTTGATATTCATGTAATGTCACCTGAGCGCCTGTAGTCTTTGCTGAAGCTTCGGTCCGGATGCACTGTGGGTCACGTGAAGGTCACTTAGCGGATGATTCACAGATGACGACGTTTTGGAGAACGCTCCAATCAAAAATCTTCCCCCGGACAGTGAAATTGCTCAGAATAAGAAAACAAATTCCAACGGTCCGTGAATGTAGAAACATCTCTCTAATAAACTCAAATTATTCTGTTATAGGCACATAAAGGGAAACGCTCTCGCTCTGTTATTGTTATTACTTCATTAAGCTTCAACGCGGAAAACAATTCCAAAAGATGGAACGTGATCAAGAAAAAAGCAAAAAAATACCTGTGGTCGTGACTGCAGACGTAAAATCCTTTTACAATACAGATTTTTTTTTTGAGACAAGAATATTTAATAAAAACCTTGAATTCTGGAGTGAAAGTTGGTTGCTTCAAAACATATGCGGTACTATTAACTTGTGTATTTTAATGCAAATTCAATAAAACAAAGTTAAATTGTCTAAGGCCTCCTGGAATGCAAATCTCTTTCTGGTTCAGTTATTTTACTTTCATCATTAAGTATTGGTTTACCTTTCTATTTATATGCTTTTTAAATTGGATTTGATTTGAACTTATACATGATATTTATTTGCACGATACATCTCCATGAATCAGTTTTGGTGTTTTACCTCTTTGCCCAATGAAACACTCTTGATATATTACAGCTGTTTGAGGAGAGGCAGTGAAACACTTCACATTTGTCACAGCAGAATGGGGGCAAGTCATTGATTAAAGGTTCATGGGTTTCCCATAAACTTCATTTGACAGTTCAATTCCTAAAATGTTTTGTTTATATTTGTTCTGCCTCCCTTGAGTCTTTCTGACGTTGTATAATGATTCTTTCCCTTTTCTCACAAAGTCCCTCATCATTAATCTCCACAGGATTCATCAAGTGGATTCTTTTATCATTTCCTCCCTAGAAACAGACGCACATTATTAGATCAGCTCCAGCTGATGCAGCGAGCTTCATTCACACAGCTTGATATTCCCAGTCATTCCCACCGGACTCTGCTTAAATTGTCTTGCAATGGAAAAACATGGGAAAAGTGACAAATAGATCCGCTGTTGGACCTCCAATTGGGTTTAATGTTCAAGAGACTTGAACATGACTTTAAAGTTACACATGGTGTCTGCCTTCTACATTAATGAAACATATTTGTGTCATTCGGTGGTTTGTCACTGTCATTAGACATGTCAAATATCCACTTGACTTGACAATGAGCTCATGAGAACTACTTCCTTTGCTAATAAAATCCACCACAACCACGGGCCAGAAAATGCTGAGGAACACTGGTTTGGTAAGACTCCACACTCTATTTGTCTGTTTCTCAACAAACCTAGCCAAGTTTTCTCCGGCTAAAACGAATATTGTTGGGTTTAAATGGCACCACCTGAGTCTGTAAAGTATCTCGCCTGATTGTAGTTTTTCCAATTTTCAGAAGGAGCTCCGTGAACGCACCGTAGTCTCCACCGTGGTCACGTGACCCCAGCGGCGGGCGGGCCATTCTCAGCTTCTCCTTCGCTTTTGGCACCAATGTCGGAGGTGTTTGTGCCTGGAAGAAATGGACTCTGGCAATGCCCGGATTTGATCGTTCAGAGATTCGATCAGTTGAGTCTGTGAATGGCGCCAAAACAGGACCCTAAGCCTAAATTTCAAGAAGGTCAGTGACTTTACGGAGCAATATGAGGGATGATAAAGCCTGGAGGGGGGTCGGGTTTGTTGTTGTTCATGCTGCTAGCCTTGCCCGACAATAGTGGTCTCCAGAGAGGGACGCAGAGCACTTACAGCCGTTATTATCGTCCATAGATGTGAAGGATTATTCTTTTTAAATGTTCTAAAATGACTTGTATCAAAGTTCATCACCTTAAAGCGAATCTTAAGGTGTAAAACAGCCGTTGATGTTAAGCTAACGTCTAGCTAGCTAGCTACTATGCTAAGAGCTAACAACCTTTATCCAGTTGGCGCAGTGTCACCGACACGCAAAAGAGGGGCCAAAATAATGTCAAATCTAGATACATGTTTTTGCAATATATCTGAGGGACTCCAATGTAGTCTACCCAGTAATAATACTTGTATATTATGTCATTATATATTGTCTTATGTCTGATTATTTTGCCATCTGTGTTCGCAGGTGAAAGAGTCCTGTGCTTTCATGGGCCATTGCTCTATGAGGCAAAGGTTTGTTTCAGCAGATGCTTTTTATTAGTTGATTATTAACTGAAAACCCCCCAAATGTGAGCCATGGACTGACGCAGACCTGTGTTTGTGTGTTATTGTTTCAACAGTGTGTAAAGATCAACATTAAGGATAAACTGATTAAATACTTCATTCATTACAGCGGATGGAACAAAAAGTGAGTATCTGGGTTTGGATAGTTTATCGGGTTTTAACTCACCTCAGATCTCCGGCTGTGGACTTTTTTGTAGTTTCATGGTTGGATGTGTCTTTTTGCAGCTGGGATGAATGGGTTCCTGAAAGCAGAGTTCTCAAATATGTGGACAGCAACCTTGCAAAACAAAAAGAGCTTCAAAAGGCCAATCAGTAAGTTTCTATTTTTTATTTGCACAAAGGATGGAGATGATAAAAATGCTATTGTTATTTTGGGGCGGGAAAATATTCCTCCCTTTTCTAATTTTCCGCCAACATTAACAAAACCGTAACATATTTGCACTTTGTCAATTCAATAATCAACATGGATTTAGTAGTAGCTGCTTTACAAGTTAAAATACAGAACTCTTGACATTACAGAATGTGGACAAATGTTAGGAATAAACACTTTGAGTGGATTCATTCTCTCCTCACAATTTTCTTTTCTTCCCCAGGGACCATTATGTTGAGGGAAAGATGAGGGGTTTAGCACCAAGCAAGAAGATTGCTGCTGTGCAGCAGAAAAATGTTGATCTGTGAGTATTCACCTTGTTTTCTCCAATAATTCAACATATTGTAAGCATTTCACGTAAGTAGTCATAATGTTGATCTAACGTTCAATTTCACACTTCTTGCATCCTAGGAAAGTGAAAAAGGCAAAGCAGAAGAGTGAGTATAATGTTTCTGCATCGCATGTTCTTTCTTTGCATTCATATAAAAACCACTAAATCTGCTTCAAAGAACAATTAACTGATGGAATAGAGGAATGGCAAATATGTCCTTTACTGTTTCAGAACACAGAATTCTGTTGCGTGAAGCACATTTTTCAGAGCAACCACTTTTCTAACCATAGTTTTAAGTCATTTATAAACACTGAAAATCCCCAGGAGGAGTTTGCAGTTTGCGCCGTTTACACGCTCTACAGATCGCACGCACACGGTTTGTGTACCTGCTCACTCGTCACGCCTGACGGCACTCGCCTATTTGGGGATTTGCACCGACCTGCCAATTTTTTGAAACATCTGTATTAACGCCTAAATGTCTCCATAGTCTGTAAGCTGTAATTGGTGTGTCGTTTAGCCCCAGGGCCGGGTGAAGGCACCAGCAGCGGAGAGACGCCGCAGGGACCACGGAGGAAAAGGGCTCGGGTCGATCCCACTGTGGAGAGTGTACGTATCTTCGGTTATTTGGAAACCCTGCGGACACACAGAAACAAACGTGCCGGGAGACGTAGCTTCAACTACATGTATGTAATGTTTGTATGACGCTGGGGAAAATGAACTGATCGCTTTTTAGCGAGACGGCTTGATAATTAGGCTTCTCAACATCATATATTGAAACCACAACAGGGTTATTTGGATCAAAAGTTCCTGTCATTTAAAACTGCACAAGAGAAGGGAGACATTTTAATATGACCTTCAGATGTGATATTCAAAACAAGGGGCTCTATGTAAAAAGCATCCCTGTGGTTTCTCATTTCATCTGGCTCACACAGTTCCTTTAGAAGTGGTCTGTGTGCGACTGTGACCGATGGGCCACAGCAGGTAGTGTCTGAAGACTCTGACCACAGATTTCCTTCCGCTGAGATAGAAAGTGAAGTTTGCCAAAGAGGGCGAGAAATAGCGGAAACCGTTGGCAGCACGCAGCCCGGTAATCATGAGCTGAATACCAAACAGGGTTCAGCGCTTAATAAAGACCTGCTGGCAGGAACACTGGGATAATATAGTGGAAAGGGAACCATGAATGATTTATTATAAAATAACTAGAAAGCATTCCACCTGTATTCTTTTATATTTTATTTAGTTAGGTTGAAATAAATGTAATAAAGAAACTATGTTAACGTCCTATCCCAGACCTGCATATGAAATATTTAACACGTGTATTTTTGTGAGCGAGCTGTGAAACGTTCAAGGCGGAGGAGAAGCCGTCCTGCTCCCAAACCCCCGTTATTAAAAACAATGAAATAATTACCAATGTGTTTCCAGGAGGAGATGTTCATCAACCGCGTGGAGGTGAAGGTGAAGATTCCCGAAGAGCTGAAACCCTGGCTGGTGGACGACTGGGACCTCATTACCCGACAGAAACAGGTGTGCGGGGTCATCTTTGATCCGCTCCGAGCTGGGGGGGTTAAACCTTTTGCCCCGCAGCGATGAAGAAGTATTACAAATTCATTCCGACATCTGGCTTCTTTAAATCCACCGGTGACCAATTACGTTATAAAAATTCCTCATCACAAATAATTTGTATTCTTGATGGACTTGGATTGAACAACAATGTCAAAGCCAAGTGTCAATGTCCAGAAATGCTTGAATCCTCTCAGAATGCCGATTGATTCCTTATCTCATATAGTTTGAATATGTGGTGAAATAGACTTGGAATTACCGTCAAAGTGAGGGACAGATGTTGTCAATGTTTCGGGCTAAATGGGCTAAATCCATTTCATTTTTTTGTTGTTTGCAGTTATTTCACCTTCCTGCTAAGAAGAATATAGAGACCGTGTTGGAGGATTATGCAAACTACAAGAAATCTAAAGGAAACTCCGACAACAAGTAAGAATGAACAGCCTGTTCAATCGGTGGTATTAATAACAATCTGAGCTCGTCGGGTAAAAACAAGCACTGTACGCTCAAAAGCCTGGCGGAACATCCGCTACCGGTACTTTGCAGCCTATTTTGCCAATACTCAACATTGTTGTCCTCGTTATTGACTTTGACAAGATAACATGAGATGTTAATAGCTTTAATAAACTTTTATCATATCATATTTTATCATATTTGCTCAAATCACTATATCCTGAAAATAGCGCATGAGGCAGATCATCAAAGCTCACAATGTAATTAGTCTGTTTGCACTCTTCCTGAAGAAAAACAACCATTCAGAGCCGAGGAGCCGCCCAACCGTCGCCAATCGCTGCTCGTGAATTCCGGTTCAAACTTTGGAATAAGCAGTGATGATTGAATATGAATCAACGACGCAAAGTCTTGGGGATTCCATGAGGAGCACCAAGGGGAGGCAGCGGAAAACCGCCTTCCTCCCAGATTAGATCCCTCGCGTTGTATCATCTTTAACTTCCTTCCTTTCCATTTACCCAGCATGGTACCACCTATGCACATTATGAACAGCGTCCTCGGCCGTGATTGGAGGCCGTGCCCAATTTAGAAATATTTAAATGACCATTTTCCAAGTCGAGCCCATTCAAAGTAAGTCATGCAGGCTTCCTCGAGACTGCAACTTTTGTGAAAACTGCGGTTTGACAAGGTGCGCTGAAAGCATTTCCAGTTGGGTGTGGGTGGCGCTGTTGCACGGTCAGAAACACGGACAGTCGTGGGAATATTACCTGCACCGAAATTAAATTTCCACTGTGCGTTTTTTCGTTCTTTAAATTTTTTAGCACATCTTACCTGATAACATATCGACCGCCTCTCTGGTCCGATCGTCCGTCATCGTAGTTTGTTGTTCCCACATGAACGCGCCGGTCCGGCCGGGTGTCAGCGGCGGCCCTCACGGCTTTCTCTCCCCTCAGGGAGTACGCGGTAAACGAAGTCGTGGCGGGGATCCGGGAGTACTTCAACGTCATGCTGGGCACTCAGCTGCTCTACAAGTTCGAGAGGCCACAGTACGCCGAGATCCTGGCGGAGCACCCGGACATGCCGATGTCGCAGGTGTACGGAGCACCACACCTTCTGCGTCTGTTCGGTAGGGACGTTGGACACACCGTGAAACGCACACTAACACACATGTAAACTCTGAACCGTCGCTTTGAGCCGCACAGGAACTCCACCTCTTAACCGTAGCATCATGAGCGCTTTCAGCAGATTTAATTGCATTCTGGGAAATGTCTTTTCATACACGAAATGGAGACTTGGGGGTGAATGACATAATTGCCGTTCCTGTAGTTCTTGTCTGTGAAACGTTCTCCACAGAAGCTGGAACACCGTCTGCGCGATCAGACAAATTATCACCCCGGTTTCTACCTTTTGTCCCAAAACAATTTCTGCCGCTGTGGAAGCAGCGAATACATGCTGGAAGGAGCCGTCACACTAGTGCTGTGGTGACAGCGGAGAGGACTCACCTCGGGGGGAAATAACGCACGGCCACAAGCAACGTTCTTTTTTACACTTTGGGATTTGATTATCGATCGACGGCAGTCACTGTTTTTTTTACTTTTGAACATCTCACAATCATTCATCTCGTTTGATGACAGACAGTCAAACTTAAAATAACAGAAGATACAAAGATGTTTATGGCCTTTGCATATTTCAAATATATATATTCAATTGATATTGGCTTCATTTGCTTTAACAAAACAGCATATTTATTGTGTTACGGTAGAATTATCAGGATGTCGTATCAAAAAATACAGTGTGAAACAGTTATTATCTCTGCCGGGAGAATCATGCGATGGTTTGCGCGTGTCATTGTGTGTCTGGATGTGGCGTTCTGCTGCAGTGGATTGCGTGTTATTTTGGGCGCCCGGTTACGGCTGCAGACTCAAGGACCCCTCGAGGTCCCGACTGACTCACTCTCATTGCCGGTTATGTGCTGCCATCGACCGCCCTGCTGCCTCCTCACCGCCCCCTAGAGGGAGCCTCTCAGCTGCTGTTACACACATACACACACAACAGAACTACACACGCAGGTGCCCGCGTCCAGCAGCCAATGATAGTGATCCGTCGCTTCCTTATTGGCCGCCAGCCTCTCGTTCACGCACGTCACGCCGCTGCAAATCGTCTTGCAGACTGACACAAAGCTTTAGGTTGTGTCTACGTCTTGTAGTTTAATGCCGGTTCTTTGAAGCATTTTTATGTTCACACAGTTTATATGTATCTTTAAGTCTTTCCTACCTTCCTTTCATCATTTCCCCCCCCCAACAGTTCGTATTGGCGCCATGCTGGCCTACACGCCGCTGGATGAGAAGAGTCTGGCCTTGCTGCTCAATTACCTCCAAGATTTCCTCAAGTAAGGTCTAACTCCCTCCACAGAGACTCCTCGTCATGTTTGGAGATGTCATGTTAGATCTTCCTCCTTATTAGTGCAGTCAGGTGGTTGTAAATGCTCAAAACATGACGTCGCTTTTGAGATATTTTTAGCTGCTAACTTATGCACACTGAACTGCATTCATTGCAGATACATGTTTGGTGCCTGAAGGATGTTAAAGGATCAGGTGATTGAACGTAAAAGCAACGGAGTCGTATAAATTTATTGACTTGTGATTTTTTTTCATAATGAGCTGCGCTATTTTGAGCACCAGGATCACTAATGGATTGATAGTCAGCGTGTTATTTACACTGTTATGGACAGTCAGCCCGTATCAATCACACCGTTAAAACAGACGCCACATCAGACAAACATCCACATGTGCAGCTGCGTTCATAGTTCATGAAACCTTGAGGACGGCGATCTTGTTAGAATGTCTCTGGACACCCTCCCGACTAAATATAGTGGCATGAATAATACAGTGATCTCTTGGGCCGTGTGGTGTTTTCTTAATTAAACCGAATTCTATTGGAATTTATTGAGGCGAAATGCCACTCATCCAGTAGCCACATTTCTTTATTCCAGTTTGTTATTCAATGCAAAAGTAAAAGAAGCAATTGGGATCCTGCAAATTTCATTTTCAACTGTTGTTTGTCCGGATGAAGCTCATATTTTAAAAAGACACGACTCCTATTGAGGCTCTTATTTTGACAGGATAGAGGGTTGAGTGATAAACTTCCTTTCCTTTAAAGCCTGTACAACTCCACCTGCCTTCTTTTATTTAAGACAACGGTTGAGTTTTTTACCTTTCGGCATTAACCTTCTCTTTACATTCCACGTGACGTTTCCTCCAGGTACCTGGTGAAGAACTCCTCCACGCTCCTGAGTGCCACCGATTACGAGGTCGCGCCCCCAGAGTACCACCGCAAGGCTGTCTGAGCCCCCCCCCCCCCTTTCTCTTTGCCCTTTTATCCTCTCTCACCTTTTGGAAAAGACACAAGATTTTTTTTTTTTCCTTCCGTTGACTCAACAAGCAGCTCTTAGGTGTTTTTGTGCCACCCGATAGAAATTTGTTACCGTTGCATGTATGTATGTATTAGTGTTTGTCCTGCAGTACAAGGTGCCATCGGATGCTGGACCACCTGGTCATCACTCAGCAGCTGATGTTTTTGTATCTGTATCTTGTTCATTTGTATCAATTTGTTTAAAAAAAAAAGTTTCTACACAATTTACATGGTTTACTGTGTTTTTCCTCTAAAATATATATATAGGAGGAAATTGAGTACTATGGTTTCATACTGCTAAAAAAACTAATTTTTCATAAACCGTTCAGTTCATGAAATATGTAAAGGTGGCAGCAATAATCAAGACCATTCTAATACTGTTTATAATGGTCATTTAATGTTGAAAATGACAAAGACAAATGACCACAACTACATTTTTAGTAGAGTAGGAAGACATCTTGATTTTCACATCCAGATGCTTTAAGTCTCTTAGAAAGACGAGATTCTATCATTCTGCAGAATATTTCAAGTAGAGGAACTTGCATAACCAACAATACAAATATTGATTAGCTACATGTGTATATAGAGGTTTAGGTCAAACGGAACCAACTACACAATGAAATCATTTATTTACAGTCACAGGGGGCATTTTTACATTCATACAGCAAAGGGTACTTTTTCCTTTTATGCCTCGAAGCCCATTTTCCTGATTGTACATATATACATACATTCTTAAATACTATTGAAATACGGATAATTCCGCTAGCGACATGCTTTATCCAAATCTATATTATAAATTTGGTAAAGGATGGATCATAATTGGTTTAATTGTATTCTGTGTTATTAATCTGAATCTGCAAAAGCAAATACATTCGGTGGAGTAAAAACTGCAACATTTCCCTTTGAATTGCAGTGGGATTGGATGGAAATATATAGTGATGTACATAAGTGAATATGTGTGTGAATGGGGGGTATTTGTTTACCTCCATTTGGCAATAGTGGAAGTTGTAAATATCGGATGAATTGGCTGCAGCCTGCAGGGACTGAACAGCAGCTGTAGCGGTGTCTCCATGGTAACCCTGCAGCAAAGTGGAGGCAAGGACAAAAACAAAGTCAAGTGGCATTATTGCTAGTTGGTTAAATATTTCCTCAAAGTAAAAGAATCCCACATAATAAAATTAAACCCTGTGGTGCATTTTATTAATTGAACCAAACCTTGTGTGATTTAAGCAACTTCTTGTCTGTATTACCGGTGTTAAAAAGTCTATTCTAGTCCAACTTAAAGTGGCACATCTTCATCAAAACAAATGTCTATTAGGTAATTTTCTACTGCTGAAGGAGGTATCGTCATGGTGATCGAGGGTAAAAGTAAAAGTCAAAAGTAAGGACGGGATGTTTCATTTATCCGGCTCCTCTTCTGTGGAACCAGCTCTCCATCTTCAGTCCAGGGGTGGACACACTCACACTCTTTCAGGAGTAGCCCGAAGACTTTCCTCTTTGATAACTGGCTCAAGGCCGCCCTTAGATAAGCTGCTGTAGGCCTCGTCTGCTGGGGCACTTTTGAGGACGCGCCGAGCTCCTCTCTCCTTCTGGATGAATTCATGTCCCATTAATGCAGGTCCCCGACTCGGCTTCCTCCCCGGGGTCTTTGTGCTTTCTGTCCTAAAAGGTTTCCATTGATCGTGGTTATGTCTGGATGCTGGCCCTGCCCCCTGCTATTATTACTATTGCCGATACAATTACTTACTTTATTATCATTATTCTACACTTCTGCTGCTTTTATTAGTGATTAATATTCCATCACTATTCTGGTACTACTATGTATGTCTTATGCACTGAACACATTGCAAATCTCTTATGTTGTTCATTCAGTACAGATGAAATCTATTATAATCCCTGGGAGTGGGACCCCTCCTCTGTTGCGCTCCCTAGGGTTTAAGTATTGGGATCGTAATGCCCCTTGAGGCCAATTTTTGAATTCTGGATCTGGTCCATACTAAATATATTGAATGTAATCAAAGCATTTCAATATACATGTAAATATTTATAACAAATAAAGATAATTACTTTTCACTTTTTACTAATTACTTGGATTTGCGATGCAGTGAGGTACAAGTGAATTGGAAATAGTAAGTGAGACAGTAAGTAAAATATGCGACAAGTACCTCAAATGTATTCAGCAACAATATGTAGTTACATTCCACTATTGCCCACTTCCCTATTGATTTCTTTATAGGTTTATGCTTATATATTTACATTCACAAGGCAGGACACAACAACATGAACACCAATTAGCCAAAGGTAAATAACAAACACCAACAATATGTCCAGTATTTACACTTTAGAAAATGTTCTCACAGACCTTTTATCTGATATGTTTATTGAGGATATTGCTAAACAGGAGGAGAAAGCTAAGTTTAAAGTATTTTGTTTTTCTAAATCAACAAATGAAATCAAATGCAGCACAATATTACGAGCCCGATAAAATACTGTTTGTGCAGGGAAGTTAAGTAAACTGGTTTAATCATAAGTGTTTATATTTGGATGCTGTTGATATAAGGGAATACATTTCGCTGAGAAAAGTTAATTTGTTCTTTGGGTTTTGTGGAGGTTGTTGACACATTCCATTTTAATAAATAGTAAATAAACTATATGCACTGAGATATCATAACTCAGTGTAAAAACACATGGTTAAATATCCTCGTACTTCACTTGAGCATCTCTTTGTTCCTTCCAATAATACTGAAAGCTTAAATCAGCTACATTATATGACAGATTAGTTTTAGATTATTGATACAAACTGTGAAAGGTTTGGTAATGCATGACGTTTTACATATAACAAGGTTATTTCTACACTGGCATTAGGGTACCACTTTAACTTAAGTAGAAGTCTGAATACTTCTTCCACCGTTGAATATTTCCATCTCCAATGTCTTCTAGAGGGATTGTGTGTTCATAACGACCAGGCAGCCACAGCACAGTAAACCAAGTCATCCGTGACACGACACACAGGTTGCTAGGTAACAGGCTTTTAAGATCCATTTTGATAGCAGGTCAAATTTACAACTAAACGATGAATAGTTTCTAATGAGGTATTGAGGTAAACAAATGATACCTTATTGTTCAAATATATATTTTTCGCAAGGTGTTTCGGACTTCAGGTACGCCTGACGTCACGCCATATTTTTCTTCCCATGTTCCAGGATGTCTCAAACTTCTCCCAACGACACTTTAGGAGGAAGTCCCGCCCTTCCGCGTCACCGATTGGCTCAAAAGTAACAGCACCGGGAACTTTGGACTCCTATTGGCTCTACTACATGTCAATCGAAGGGCGAGTAGAATTTGCGGTTGGGCGTCAGGTGAAACTCGCTCTGTGAGGGGGAAAGATAAAAAGTACTTCGTCTGAACGTTTAGGGAATTTTTTATGCTATTTATGAACTTACTAACCTAAGGAAACCTTTTAACACTGGAAACCAACACGTAACAAGATGAAGAGCCTCAAGTATCGATTGAAAAAGCACGAAGTTAACATCACAGTAAGTTATCTTTTTTTTCTTCTTTTTCTATCGACTAACGTTGGTTTTGCTAACATTCCCCGGTTCCCACCATTGACCCCGGTTAACGAGGCAAGTGCGTAACGTCCGTCATTGTCTTTTAACCGGTTGACGTTTCAAAGGCCTGTTCTCTTGTTCCCAACGAGCACGTTAACCGCGGTCATGTTCCCACGGCTCCGCGGTGAGGAAAAAAAACTCACCGCCGGTTAAGTTTTAAGCACCTGCACCGCCGCGAGAAGGCGAAATACGGCCTCGCACCGTTTTATTACTCTGCACCCGTTTACGGTTCAGCCTGTTCAAGATCTGCCCTAAACTAGCTGACGGTGTTGTTGTTATTCACTAAAAGTGGAACGGGACCAAAAGCTGTTTTAAATCAGTGCAGCAAAAGAGCCTCGGCGCCTGGTTGTGGTCACCGCTGACCGGTGTTACGGTTCAACAAGCGACCCGGTGTTACGGTTAAACAAGCGACCACGTTAAACCGTGACACCGATTTTTTGTGTGTTTGTTTTTCTGACCCCTGTGAGCTGGAGATTTTCATTTTGGACTTTTCTTGAATCGGCACCTCACCAACAATGAGGTGGTTGTGAGGTTTTGCTGGAGGATGAAAGTTCAGTCCAACTGTTCAACTTATTACATTTGGCTAAAACGAATGCATCATAATACAACGGCGGTGAAGGAACTACTCGCATCTTGATCTAGATCTTTTTAGTAGTATATAAAATAACACAGTGTGGCAATACTCGTTTACAATTGAACGATAGGCATTCAGAAGGAAGTACAAGTAGAAAAATCAAAATATACTTAAAGTAGCTAAAGCAAAGTAGTTTTTCTGCACAATGAAATCATCACGTCAATGTTACGGTTGGTGAAGGTTACCAGCTGTGAACTGTAATCCATGAACATACATCTTATTTGTTGATTTATTTTTTGGAATAATCCAAATCTGTAAAGTGCCTTGTGACAAAATAATAGCACATTATATCACATTGTCATATCAAAGTAAAAAGTGCTATTCATTCCCTCTGAAATGTTGTGCACGAGTAAATGAGAACACTCTTATCTCCAAGTCACTCCAAATCTTTCTATTAAAAGTGTTCATAGGCATTCCAACACTGCTTACACAATCATTCCACAGTAAACAATGATGTGAGTAAGCTTTATGTTGAGTATGTGGTGCTGTTGACTGACTGACTGCTGAGAGATGTTTTTTAAATCATTAGCCAGTCAAATCGGCCAATAATGTTCTGGAGTTTTCTTTGTTTTGCTTATAAAATGTGAAAATGGTATAAAAAAAAATATCTGAGCGCCTACGCTGATTTATTCATAATAAATTTTTTGCATCAGCCAAAAACCCAATGAAATATAGTTTACTATCATAGTCAAAGAAAAGCAGCAAATCTGAAAAGCTGAAACCAAAGAATATATTGCATTTTTGCTTGATTAAAAGAATAAATAAATAAATTGTTCCTCATGGATTACTCTGCAAACCCTTTTGACTCCAGCACAAACTACAGCCACACAAATGTAGATAAAGTTGAATGAACATCTGTTTCACCAAAATCCAAACGCTGCACTCCTTCATTGTAGTCCCATTTACCTCATGTTGTGTGAGACTAATTTGGAATGCAATGTGTCCCAATAAACTGACAGCTGACTCAATCTTCCTTTTTAAAA